AGGGTAAAAAACCCCAAAGGCATCCATGCAAAACAAAAGACAGATTTTAAATAGGGACAATCACAGAAAATGGTGACTGATGCCATTTAATTTCAATCATCTGATCACTGCTTAGTTCACAACAAATGTGGGTTTCAGAAGTTTGAGAAGTGATCAAGGGTATTGCTGAGAAATACTTCTGTGGCGCTGCACCAGTTCCATTAAAAAAAGGTATTGAGCTTTTTCAATTTGATTTTTGAACATGTAACGCATACAGAGAACGGGGAAGAAGAAAATTCTGCACCGCTACTTAATAAAAGAAAGATCAAAAGAGCGATCAGCTATATACTCTAAGCAAGTGCCAACAGAAATCCATATACATTCTTATAAGTCCTGCCATTCTAGAATATTCAATGTTACATTTGTTAAATAAGAACCAATAACAGTTTACAATTAATAATAGTAAATGAAAATCACCCCTATTTTTTAATGGATTGAACGAGCAAATCATTAGAGAAAATTAGTAAAAAATGATTCTGCAAGAATAGATGACAAGGGTTTTTTTGGTTGGTTGGTTGGGTTTTTGTTTTTTGTTTGTTTTTTTTTTAAGCAGAAGATAGGCACAAGTAGGTTACAGACAGCTGAGCCTGAAATGCCTGCAGTATTAGAAGTGCCAGCCTGGCCACACCTGAAACGTAAGCAGCTTCGTTTCTTAAACAAAACCACATGCCATTAAAAAAAGCAACAGAGCTAAATATCCCATTTGATAAACCCTCCACGTTAGTTATTTACAACGGGTCTTGAGATTATCCAAAGATAAACAAGATTTCCAGATAAGAGAAGCCTGTCCAAAAGCTTTGAAGAGATTGCAGTTGAATTGTTTGCAGCACAAGTGTTTAATTTAGTGGAAATTTTCAGCCTTTATATTTAAGAAAGTGAGTTTACTGAATCTACATGCAATGACCACTTAAAGTTTAAAACAATCCTTTTGACCTATCTGGTATAAAAAGACATTGCCCACACTCCTGGAAGTTGAAAAAGGAAGCGACGCGTGCAGTTTTCAAGCAGGTAGATAGAGAACTTCTGAGTATTTAACCTGGAGGGAGGACAGACAGACACAGTGGTCAACAGGACAGGACATCAAAAGGTGTAAGTAACATCACTTAAGCAAGCTGTAAACTCCCATTACATAACAATTCATTTCACATGAATTCACCTTCTCACAGCTCAAGCAACCTTAGGGAGGCAAGGCAGCCACACTGTATACAAAGACTAGTGTCCAACAGAAGAGCAACATCAAAAACAAAATACCCAAAACACTGCAGGACTTCACTTCCAGCTAGCAATGTAAGGTGGCTTGGCTTGTGCAGGCACAGGTCAGATGAAGAAACTTCCATTAATCTCTTAGGTAAAAGCTGTTTGACAGGTAGAAGGCACTTGGGCCAGAAGGGCTTGTATTTGTGCATGTTTTGGGGGCACCAGACTTGATGTTAACTGCTGGGTAGTGAGGGGAGGACCAGAAGACCACTTTCATCTTGCCAACTCATGAAGTTTAAAGGCGTGGACTTTAATCAAGAGCAAATAAAATGGTATTGCCTATTTGAGAGCTTGTACTCCAGCAGCCAAACCCAGCCGCTCAGAGCATACAATCCTCCCTAAAAAGGAGCAGGTTCTGCCCATGGCAACACCTTCTCTGCTGGCAGTCTTCAGTTCCAAACAGCCCTGGCTTATAGACCATCAGGCATGTTACAAGACCTTGGGAGACGATGAAAAGATGTATATAGGTGTGCCGAGCAGTATTCGTCACTTCCATTTCTTGGCAAGAAATGCAAGTGCTTGCTGCTTGCTCTGTTTTTATGTTCAGATGAATTTTTGAGCAGTTGTTAAAAGGCGCTGAAAGCTTATGGCAGGCAATTCTCATCTCTTATAGTCTATATAAACATGCAGCAATAAAACCTTTTCACTCCGTACTAAAGACAGCTATCTGCAGAGCACAACATGAACATTCAATTAAAGTAGGGTCAAACACGAGGTTGAGAGAGACAACTGCAGGAGGGAACACCCAGGAAGCCTGGACTTCTGCCTGGGCAACTGGGAAAGCAGAGAGGAGATGGCTACTTCAAAGCAGAGAGGAGATGGCTACTTCAAAGACAGCTTACACAGAAACGGCAAGTGTAACAAAAACTTCAAAACAGAAAGCATACCTCTGCCAACTCCATGGGACAAAAAAAACCCAAACCAAAACTAAAAAAAAAAAATAAAAAAAAATTAAAAAGCTGTATTTGAGAAGTGGATTTGTAGCAGCTCAGGAAAGAGATTTACAGCTCCATCATAGCAGGCAGAAACAGAAAAAGCAGTCACTCAGGATAAAAGCCCCAAATAGTAATAACACAGGATTCCTGCCTGATTTTTTTCAGCAATATTAACCACAACAACAGTGAATAAGAGCCCACAGAGCTACAACAAATCACAGGTGTGCTGCGTTCAGTAAGACAGGTTATTAAAGTGACCAACATCCTACAAATTCACCGTACACCCCCACATGTTGCAGGAGTAACAGCCTCAGCATCATTCAACAGGACCACCTCTGCAGGCGGCTTCACTTTTTTTTTTTTAATAGCAGACTCCTTTGCTGTACCCTTGCGTACACTGGGACTGCCACACAACTTCCAGCTCACTTCCACCCCAAAGCATGAGGGCTCAGCAGAAAGGCTCGCTAACAATGTTTCCACTCCCTAGCCATTACAGAGGGATGCCAAAGTAACACCCATTTTGTGGTAAAGCTCCCGTCTCATTCCTTCATCTGGCTTTGCAGAATGTGGAAGAATCAGCAGCCGCTCAGTTCAGAAAGACAGGAGATGCAAAGCCAAACCCCACAACATGGAAACCAATGTCAACCTTTCCCAGCTTCAGTCCAAGTCCCCCCAAAGCAGTCCGGCAACCTCCAGTTTGTCCCTCAGCTTCAGACAATGATACTATTAGCCGGGTGATATGGCCCAGAGCAAGGCTGCAAGCAATGTTATGACTCAATTCCTGTTTCTTCCATCACATTTATGTTTTATCACTTGCAAAGCACTGTGAAGAAGTTAAAATAAAAATATACACACACACACACATCCCTAAAAGGGCTAAATGTAGAAAGAAAGGGCAATCCACGCACATCAAAAGCCCAAACTAAAAAAGCAGAACCAAAAAACCCACAGAAATGGGTACAATCTCATATATCCCACTTTTGCCCCTTTTCTAACTTCACCCCTGAAAACTACGGTGACAATAAAGCCTAGAATAAAAGAGCACAATTAATATTTTCAACATGTGCATCAAGACTTAACAAAAAGTAGCGAAGTAAATTAATGAGATTGCCAGTGCTCTTTTCCTATCTCAGAGCATCCGTTATAATGAATGGCATGTGGCAACACCAAGAGAGACTCAAGTAAACAGTATTATTTTTTACACACAAAATGAAAAAGTTAGTAATTTTTTTATAACAGATAAGACTTTTTTCCATAGAATAGTTAAAAAAGAAATTTAGAAAACAGTCTCAAGTAGATGCTACTTATAAAAAAAAAAAAAAAAAGACAGACATAAGAAAAGATGAGCCGACATTAGGAGCATGATGGAAACATCCTACAGCGAGCAGCTAAAACCATCAGCCTCCTTCCACTTCCTTTATCTTCATCCAGGCATTTAGCAAATGTGCATGTTTAACTTTTTGTTTCAGTTTTGAGAACTTAGTTTTAGCAGTTCAGAAAGTTAAACTTTCTAGCAGTTCCAATGCGCAAGCTAAGAAAAACAAGGAGTGTAAAGCAACTCAACATTGAAATGTTGTTGCAGAGCAAAAGAGTTAAGTGGCTCCACACCCCCAAAAAGGCCCAAGAAAACCCTATTTCCCAGTCGCTAAGTAATGATTCTCACTACCTTAAAAAGTAAGTCGGGGTCTTTGGCTGTGGATTCAAAATGTGCTCAAGCCTCATGGTCAAGCACAGATTACCTTAAAAATGATCATTAAAAATAAGAGCGTAACATGCCTTGATCTAAAGCTTTTTTTGGTTTTGTTTGGTTGGGTTTTTCTGTTTTGTTTTGTTTTAAATCCACAGAAGGACTAATTAGCTGATCGATCACTTGTATGACAACATATACCAAAGATGCTCACCTTCAGGGATCTTTTAAATGCAAATTAAAATACAGGAGTGATACTAAGAAATCATCGTGTTGCAAGCAAAACCATACTCAACTCTCCAGGCAATTATTGCAATAGAATATTTTCTGGCGTCATTTTTAATATTAATTACCAGAGCAGTTCCTAAGCTTGAACCATATTCCACACCTGTTGCATTTCTGACTTGTCAGCAAGCCACGGCTGCGTGCGTATCCCTGATCTGCTCACAACAGCTTAAGGACAAGAACCGCAACTTAAAAAAGAGAAATTGGCCTCATTCCCTGCCCTCACTTAAACACCAAAACACAGGTCAAGATGCTCTGAACCCTTGGGGTGTTCAACCAAAAATAACCCCAGGAAACGCACTCTCCTCAGCCACGGGCAGCAACATCAGGCTGC